AGCTTTGATGTAACATCACTTACAAAGGTCCCAGTTGATGATTTAGTAGAGTCTCATAGATTCCTGGATGATATTTCACTGCCCATCTCGAAAGACGACTTCATCGAACTCATCAAACTATGTATTAAGGATTGCAAATTCGAATCAATGGAGAATATTATGCTCAAAAATTTGGTATGGCAATGGGTAATCCACTCTCACCTGTATTAAGCAACCTATATATGGAATACTTTGAAAAGAAACTATTAAGTAATATTTTACCACCCTCAGCAGTCTGGTTTAGATATGTTGATGATGTATTATGTCTCTGGCCATGTAATGAGGACCTAAAAGCTTTCCTGCCACAACTTAACAACTTAGCCCCCTCGATCAAATTCACTGTGGAATTAGAGCAAGACTCTAAATTGCCATTCCTAGACTGTCTGATACACAGAATAGGTAACACTTTTAAGTTCAGCATTTATAGAAAACCAACTAATGTGTGTTCATACATTCATTATTATTCTGCCCACAATAATAAAGTCAAACAGTCAGTATTTTCAACAATGTTTTTACGTGCCTTGAGAATTTGCAGTCCGGAATTCATTGATGAGGAATACAAATATATATATAATATTGGCTCAAACCTTAAATACCCTAGATCTTTCAAAGACAAATGCCTAAACATTACTAAGAATACTTTTTATAGAACTGATCCCAAGCCCACCCATGACCATAAGAATATCTTAATATTACCATTTCACAAAAATTTCTCACACATTCCTTCACAACTAAAAACCTGGAACGTCAATGTGGTATTTAAAAACTCATGCACTGTTAAACAAATGTTAATCAAGAACTCCCCCAACAACACAATTGGTTGCATTTATAAAGTTCCTTGCAAGGAATGTAATATGTTTTACTTAGGCCAGACAGGTAAAGATCTTGCAACTAGAATTAAACAACACAAATACAGTGTTAGGACAGGCCAGGAATCCAATGCTCTGTTTGTTCATTTGAGGAATAACAAGCATTGCATTGACTGGGATAATGCCTCCTCAATATTACCATGTAATTCAATTGATAGTAGGAACATCATAGAATCTAGTCTTATTAAACATACCGAAGCATTCAACATGAATTTGAATAACGGCATGTACAAGCTGGACAATTTTGTAATTAAGAAGATTTATGACCAGGTGAGAAGGCCGGGTCACCTGACCATCTGACCTGACCACCATTGTGGACCTGGTCTCCCCCTTCTCTGTATATATACACCTTGATTTGTATTTCTCTCTCTAGTCTGTACTCACCCCTGAAGATGTGAATTACACGAAAGCGCTTGGGAACTTCGTGTTTTCTTCTTTCCTTGTGGTTATCAGCATATATATATATATATATATATATATATATATATATATATATATATATATATATAATTGTGTTCTTGTAAAATATCGTGTTATAGAAAATCGCGTAATAGAAATAACAGGGCTTATGGAGAAAATAGGTGCAGATTACTATCGAAAAAATTTAGTAGTTAGCCTAACACAAAGGATAGCACAGTCTAAATAAATGTTACATTCATATCTAATAATGAAATCATACACACTTTACCTTGAAAAAATATGAATGTAACTTGATGGGGGAAAAGGGTGATTTTGAGGTTGATAACATCAGCTTCTCTTCAAGTGTGATATCCTTTCTTTTACGATAATCACCGGGAATTCTATCATCAGAATGCTTTTTGGAGATATTCTTCTTTACCATATTCACAGTTAATACCACAAAATTGGAGAAATATAAGCAAAAATCGCGTTATAGCAAACAAGCGATCGCGTTATACAAATATTGTTCCGAATTCATAAATCGCGTTAGAGCAAATTCGCGTTATCAAAACACGCGTTATAGCAGAACTCACTGTATATATATATATATATATATATATATATATATATATATATATATATATATATATATATATATATATATATACACACACACACACACACACACACACACACACACTATAACCTCGTGTATTCCAATGTGGTAAATGACTGTATCCCAAAAAAATGTGTCACTATGGCATCCTGTACAATACTATACTGAAACAGATGGACAAATGGATTGCTCTGTTGACCTGATCTAATATTACTGGCATTGTCAAACTGCCAAGCCTAGGGTCACCAGAGTCTTAATTTCAGACTTCACATACTGCATGCTTGTCTGACCTCAGAAAAAGAACCACATTCATCTCCTGACCCAACCAGACACTGTTTTCCCTTGGCTCAAACTAACTGAAGGGGGGGGGTTAAGATGCCTATGTACACTCGCACCAAAAAGTATCGGTGCAGGGTGAGATCAACGACTTCCGAAACGATACGTATACACTGTGATATGTCGGAAAGGTTGGTAAGTGTATCCTCATAACCCCCCCCCCTCACTAGCTGTTGCCATATGGCTGACAATCAGTGTGTTTGTTTCCTCTTTTTGGATTGTTGTTTTGTGTCGACTGAATGACGAGCGAGGGTTCGGTCTCGGTGAACGTGGGTATAAAACAGAGGCAATATGAAGCAGTAAAGATCTACACATGCCAGACGACATGGAAACCTCAGAGGGAACGCGAGGAGCTATTATTGCCCTTCATAACGAAGGGTTCGGCGTCACAGATATTAGTCGTCGGGTTGGTGTCCACAGGAACACCGCTGCACGATGGATTCGGCGATACCTCGAAACTGGTGCTACAGACGACAGGTCTCGGAGCGGCCGTCCACACTGCACCACCCCTCAGGACGATCAGGTTGAGTGGTTTATTTGGTAGCATAGTTAATGTGGCAATATTCACAAGTATCATAAACAATTTTGTTAACAGGGAGCTCCTCATATTTCATACTGTCTATTTATCAGTTCCCGACCTTATTTATAGCGGTTCGTTTCACTTGACCAGAGCTGCCAACATGTGGCTGGAACAACTCGCCTTTCCCAATACCTATCGTCACTGGTCTCAAATTGTTTACACTACAGTATGCACCGATACTTTTTGTTGCGAGTGTACATGGTATTAATCAATGTAAACATACCGTAGTCTTAAATGAAAAGTTTAAGCTAACGAAAATTGGGTTTGGGTTAGAACTTTAAATTTACTCGCCTGCCTGGATGAGTGAATGAAATAGCCTGTGTATAATTTTGTTATGTTTGGTATTATCAGGGAGAAAATTAACCAGTAATACAAAAGTGAAATACGATAGCTTTTTCTTACGACAAGTGTTATCATAATGAGTAATATTTCTCAATTTCGTGTTTCAAGAATTGCCTTATAAGCCTTTGTACTGCTACTTCATGCCAGGGAATGTTGGAACATCAATTATTGTCAAGTTACCTTTACTTTTTCATGAATCTACTGAATTTAATAATTTTCCTCCTGCAAATTTCTGACAGTTTAATATTCTTCCATTATGTAGGAGATTTGTTCTGCAGAATGTGTTAGGTAGCATTATTACTTCCAAAATTTACTTGGAATTGGCTTTAGGGTAGGCCATTGGGTGTGGTGGACTCGGGACTATTGTGGTGTGTCATGCAGTCCAGTTGCTTGATACAATTTTGTTACTGACTGGCCAGTAGGAGTCAGTGAGGGTTTTTGGTTCGTTCGTGTAAACAGATGGAATTCATAAATATTTGGATTCATTCTGCCTCCCCTTTATGTATTTATTTATTTATTTTTATTTTTTATATAACTACCTTATCGCCACAAGGGGATACGGTAATTACAGCAAAGGGGTACAGTAATTATCATCAAATAGGTACTGTACAGTATCCAATATTGTACAGTACAACCTGTAGACGTATTTGGAATGTGGAAACATATTGTGGGCAGAGAAATGTATGGGTTAAGCATTGAATCTGTTAACTCATTTTAAGGCCAGTGGATCACAATAATAGAATATAGACATGCTTAAATTTGCAAATAGACTGAACAAAAATAATAAGGATCAGAAAGAGACTTCCCTATACAGTATAGTACAGTACCTGGAGGTGTATGTAAACAAACTAGGACACCGTAGAGTTAAGTGAGCCTTTGTTTACATTTGCTGACTGGTTAGAAAAATAATGATGTAAGCTGTAGAATTGGTAAAACAGAAAAAAACTAAAATTCACTGAACAGTTTTGTATTTGCAGTTAGGGGTAGCAAAAAGAACAAACAAAATAACTACTACAGTATGTTTGGTTGCATGTGAGGGTAGTGTGTTGTAGCATGCTCACTGGTAATTTCCTGCCTCCCTTAGAGCCAAGCTTCAAAATCTAATTAACAAGAGTTGTCTCTGTCTTAGCTGTGTTCAGGTGTGGCCATAACCTGGACATTATTTTGCCTTTTCTATGAAGCTACTGTATACAGTATCTGTGGTGGTGTAGATGTAGACCATGGTATTCAGGCATCACTTTGTGCAAGGAGAAGTGAATTTTCTTTGGATCAATAACTTTATTGCTTCAGAGATTGAACCTGTAAAACATTGCCTTTCTGACATATTTCAGTTGTAAGTAAACTTTGATAGCAGACTTTTGTAAGATTTGGAATCAGTACAGTATTAAGATATATTTTCAGTAAAGTATTTTAGAGAATTACAAATGCAAATGATTCATTTAAACTTGGAGAAGAGGTTTTCCTGGCTAATGACTTCTGCTAGAGAATTATGGTACTGTACAATACAATGAATCTTCAGTCTAATGGACCTCAATCTGACAGACTACAGTACCTTCTCCCATATAATCTGTTAGATGGACGTTTCACATCTCACATACCATAAAGTCCTTTAGACAAATATTTCACATCTAATGGACTTCCTTTTCTCTCATTTACTATAATCAGCTAAATGGAGGTTTCACTGGAATTTCATTTGTAGTTAAGTAATGGGGCATTGTGTTCACTTGTCCTTGCTAGTTTTGAGATGGTTTACTTAACTAGATTAAGGAATAATTTGTAATATGTACAGACTTCACAGTTCATGTCTTTTATCTTCCAGGGAAGCGTATGCAGGAAATAGTGTGTGTATGCATCTGTATAACGTTGTTGGTAGTCAACTTATACTTTATGGCAGTTCATTTTAAGTTTGAGAAAGTGACTACGATTTTCCTTGTGGCACTAGCGGGGATCTTTACAGCAGACTTTGCCTCAGGATTCGTCCACTGGGGAGCAGACACTTGGGGATCAGTAGAACTCCCTCTCTTAGGCAAGGTGGGTAATGCCTTCTGGGAGGTGAACTTCTCCTTGTTTTTTGTGTTATTTTCCAGTTTGTGTGAAAATTTACAAATAAGCACTGTACAGTATGTAGTTATTATTATTTTTATTTTTGTTTTATTTTATTTTATTTTTTTTACATGATTACTGTTGTTGAGGAATGCCCTTTTCAGGATATGCACTCCACTGTGTGCCTCATAAAAAGTGCAGTGCAGTAATATCTCTGTTAGCCGGAATCTCTCTTAACCAGAACTCTCCGATAGCTGGAATTGAAATTTTCTCGGAAAATCATTCCCATTCAAATTTTCCGGAAATTTCCAGTTTTGGGAACGATTTACCTAGGGGCACATTTTCTGGAAAATTCCAAGAAAATTTTTCCAGTACCCAGAAAATTCCAGGGATGGGGAAGTTATTTTCTTGGTTTGAGAGATGAAAATCAGGCACATTTTCTGGAAATTCCAAGACAAATTCTCAAGTACATACCTGGACAATTCCGGGGATGGGGGATATTTTTCCGGGTTCGAGAGATGATGTAATGCACAATTTCTGGAAGTTCCGAGAACATTTTTCCGTTACCCGGAAAATTCCTGGGATAAGGGATTTTTTCTGGCTTTGAGAGTCGCCTTGTTACCCAGAAATATCTCATTCCCGGAACTGCTCTGCACCAGTTATTCTGGCTAACGGAGATATCAATGTATTTAGGTCACATTGAATTTAATACTCCCACTGCAGATACAGGAGTTACAGTGCATTGATTTGAACCTGTTCATCTTTATTACCATAGAAGTACAGTACTTCCCAACCATTATTGTATTACAGGAGTTGGAATATTCCTGAAACTGTATTTCCAGCATAAGGAAATTAAGTTTTTAAGGTTTTTTATATGCACCCTTACAATATTTTGTATTAAGTTATCTATTTACCTAATTATTGTTGCTTTGCTACAACATTGCTGACAAATGTAATACAGATTATAATAAATGTTCTACTATACAATGATTTCCTTGCAATAATACACACAATATTTCTGGTTCTATATCAGTATTGTTAGGTAATTCGATTTAATCTAATATCCATTGATTCAATTCAACACGGTTTTGAATATAGAAAGATAACAAAGTTGCATAAACACCTTTGGCCAGTGTTCTTATTAATAAACAACACCTGTACTGTACTGTATTGAATACCATTTACCCAAACATCTATATCAACATCAATTACATGCAGTGTTGGTTACAATTTTCACTTGAACTTCCATGCACAGATGCATGTAATAGTTTCAGATGTATCTCACCTCTAGGGAGCAAAAGGTCTTTTTTAGTTTTGGAGTCACTGGGTCAAAGGTCAGTGTTATTACTCCTGACTTGAGTTTATGGCTTCTGAACTACTGTACAGTATAACCTTAATGTGTGTTCCCAGATGAACATTATATTGTCGTGGGCATCTGCAGGACTTTTATTTATTTTTTCCTGGGGGGTGTAGCAAGATAAGACCTGACATCAGTTTATTCCAAACAGGTATATACAAGTATAATTGAGTTACCGGGTACTTTCAAGTAATGGATGATCAGCACTATCACATATCAGTGTTGTCACCAAATTATTAATCACAAAGATTCACGAAAATATTTCATTTCACAACATTAATCCTGAAAATCTAGGGATGGCCAATACGAGCTGTCTGCCACGATGGTGACTTGCTCAGAACATTAGCAGGGTAATTTCAATGCTTAAATAAATACTGCAGGCAGCACTTATCAGCTCCAAAACAATCAAGCACGTCTTCAGTGAAAGCATTCATTCTTTCTAACACCTTTTGGCGGTGCACGCTGAGCGTGCACAATCCAAACAAGCATTCAGTTGACAATGTTGATTAAAGTTATTTCTTGACATGTCTCACCATGCTAAATGACCACTCTACATCACAAGTGGAGGCCAAAAACGTCAAGGAGATCGATATAGCTTTTCGAATAGCAGGAAACACATCACACTGTTTCAGAAGATCCGTCAAAAAAAAAGATTGCACTAGAATCAGATGCAGTTTTCTTCTGGAAATGCTGATGCTGTATTTACATTTCAAACCAAGACTGTTACTCTACAGCAAAATTAATTACAGTTGTACCCCACTTAACGCGGTCAATAGAACCCAGAGGGTCCCGTGTTAAGTGAAATCCGCGTTAAGTGAACAACAGAACATATGGGATTAATTCCAATAGAAACCGGCCCGACCCCCAAACTCCACTTTATGAAGGCACATACCTATGTTGTAGTAAAAATAACATCTTAATTTTATGATGGTACATGCACACAATTAATACTTAAGAGAAATAGAGAAATACAGTCGCCAAGTTAATGTCCATTCAAATAATGGACTCAACTCCCTCCCCCTCTCACACTACACTGCCGGCTCTTCCCTCAGAGAAAATTTTGGGGGAAAACCACTAAATTTTAATAAATAATACCTCAAACTAAAGTTAGGATAATACAATTGATATTGCTGGATTCCTTGTAAGACCAGGAATATTTTGAATATAAATGTCATATATATGCACAAAAGATAACATAGTTACCTAGAGAAAAATTTTTATCTAAAATTTGTATGTTTAATGCAAAATATATGATGTTTATATTCAAAATGATCACCAAATTATAAGAATTCCAGCAATGTAAATTATATTCTGACCGGGTAATTTGTATGAATTTTATGAGCTAAAACAAATATCTTCAGTTAATAAAAAAAAAAATAATCTTCACGACACTATCTGTCAATCAAAGTACCCCACCTTGCCTCCCCCCCTCTTCCAACCGCGCGGTCAGTCCCAACCCTCCCCCCCACCCCCCACCAATCCTCCCTTCCAGAGTTTTTAACATTTAGTATTAAATAATACCTCAGATTAAAGTTAGGATAATATAATTGACATTGCTGGATTCCTTGTAAGACCAGGAATATTTTGAATATAAATGTCATATATTTTGCACAAAAGATAACATAGTTAATTTGAGAAAAATTTTTATCTAAAATTTGTATGTCTAATGCAAAATATATGATGTTTATATTCAAAATGATCATCAAATTATAAGAATTCCAGCAATGTAAATTATATTCAGACCGGGTAATTTGTATGAATTTTATGAGCTAAAACAAATATCTTCAGTTAATAAAAAAAAATAATAATTCTTCATGGGGTAACAGATGGTCGGTCAGTCCCTCCCTCCCCCCCACCCCCCACCAACCGTCCCAAGGAGATGTGTGGGATAACCACTAAATTTTAATAAATAATACCTCAAACTAAAGTTAGGATAATATAATTGACATTGCTGGATTCCTTGTAAGACCAGGAATATTTTGAATATAAATGTCATATATTTTGCACAAAAGATAACATAGTTACTCTGAGAAAAATTTTTATCTAAAATTTGTATGTCTAATGCAAAATATATGATGTTTATATTCAAAATGATCACCAAATTATAAGAATTCCAGCAATGTAAAATATATTCTGGCCGGGTAATTTGTATGAATTTTATGAGCTAAAACAGGCAGGGTGGCGGGTGGGGCAAATCTAAAAATAGCGTCTCGAGCCGGACACTCACCGCGTATATGTGGAAAAAATCCGTGTTAAGTGAAAGTTCAGCTCTGGCGAGGCACCGCGTATATGATAAAACGCGTTAAGTGAAACCGCGTTAGGCGGGGTAATACTGTATGTTGTAAATATAATTTAATTGCCATTTTTTCCTACATTCGACAACCACTGATTCTTTCTCATATTTCTCAACCGCTTGGTTTTGCAAACTACATGCTTGGTATACTTGAACTCATTGTAGCAGAGTTTTGAAGCACACTTAGGCGTAAATAAATTTGAAAAAATCATCCCCAACAGTAACATGCTCCGAGCTTTCCACTATATTTCTTTTGCTCTTATTTATATTTATGAATAATAATACAGTGGTCCCTCGGTTAACGAACACGGTTCGTTCCAGAAGGTCGTTCGTTAACCGAAAATTTTGTTTACCGAATCCATTGTTTCAATGGGATATTGGGTAATTGGTTCCAGCTCACCGAAAAGTACATACATACAAAGTAAAAAAAAAAATGCAGTAAAGTACACTTACTTTTAAGTGTGTATGTAGAAGGTTCCTGGTTGATGATGAAAGGAATTAGAAGTGGGGGTGGAGGAGAAGGGAGACGAGAAGGAAGTGGGGGTGGAAGAGAAATCACCTTTCAGGGGACCCCATGCTTGATGCCGTCATTTCACCAATAAAATTTTAAGTTCACTAGGTGTAATTCAAGATTATTTTCTTTAAATCAACACTGCACTGTGCTATATATTATCAATATGTTAACTAGATTTCAGAATGACCAATAATTTTAATGTAAAAATGCAAAAATATTCAAGAGCACAACTTTCTTGATATTTACTCCACTGGAAGCGAATGTAAACATAGAACAGATTACCGAATTGGCAGACTAGCCCATCAGCTGATGCTCACAACAAAACGTGATGTTCTTAAGGATTTTGCTAATCTAATTTTTGTTCATTAACCGAATTGGAGATTCTTATGGAAGGTAATTCGTTAACCGAACCGTTCGTTAACTGAGGGACCACTGTACAAAGATAGTGAAAAAAATAGATTAAGCGAGATAGTAAACAAATAGACAAACTAAAGCCTAGTCGCCAAGTCCCAATGAGATATTTGCCAGAATATTAAAGGAATGTAAGGGGGGATTTAGTATGCCCTTAGCGTCCGGGTTAAGGTGTACTGTAGGTGTTGGAAAAGTTCATTTTGAGATACGAGCTGATAAAGTTTCTCAACCCTTCTCCCCTGTATAAGTGTTCATTCTGAGCTGATTTTACATGTTATATCTTGTTTGTTTTTGTATTTTTGTGTGTTTATTTTTACATTTTCAACTGAACTCCAGTTATATTCTTTATGTGAGATTGAGGGGAGGGGTGGAAGGCTGGGGCTGGGCGCCTTGGGCGTCCTGAGATGGCTGTT